TTTTGCATGCAGGTCTTCAAGTTTGTGTGACATCAGGCACAAGTCATCGGCGAAATCCAAGTCTTCTAGGTTCTTTTCCGCGGTCCAGCCATTGTGTCCTCCTCTTCTCGCTTCCCACTGTTGTCTGCTGCATGATCTAGTGGACCACAATCAGGAATATCATGGGGGATAGTAGGCAACCTTGTTTCACTCCTATCTTCACTTCAAATGGCGTCACTGAGCTTCCCGTTGTGAATTACTTGGCATATGGCGTCTTCATGTAGTTGTTGAATGAGATTGATGAAGGTTTGTGGTGTTCCGTAGTAATGAAGCAGTTTCCAAATTACCTCTCGGTCGACGCTGTCGAAGGCCTTCTCAAAGTCGATAAAGTTGAGGTGTAGAGTTGACTGCCATTCTATACTCTCTTCTATGATGATGCGTAGTGTAGCGTTGCAATTTGGTCTGCACATGATTTGTACTTCCTGAAGCCTGCCTGTTCCGGTCGCAGTTTTGAATCCAGTGCATCCTTTAGCCTCTCCAGGATGATGCAGCTTAATATTTTGCTTGGGGTGGACAGGAGAGTGTTTCCGCGCTAGTTCTTGTAAACACTGGAGTTTGACAAGGTAACCCTTCTTCCAATCACCAGGTACCTTCTCTTCCTTCCACACCTTCTGCAATAGTGGTGTGAGCATGTCCGTCGTTGTCTCTGCGTCTGTTCTCAGTGCTTCTGGCGGGATCCCATCTGGTCCTACTGCTTTCCCACATTTCACTGGCTTTATGGCGTTCAGGACTTCCACTTTTGTTGGAGGATTTATAGTCACTTGTATCTCAGCGGCTGTAGGTGGTATTTCTGGACGAAGTGCAGGTGGTGGTGGTGGTCGATTCAAGAGCCTCTTGAAGTGGTCGGCCCATTGTTTCCTTTGTTTCTCTTCTTTGGTGATCAAATTTTATTTATCGTCTTTTATTGGTTTCATCTGTGTTGATCTCTTCCCTTCCAGATAGTTACCTGGTTATTTGATACAATGTTGTCAGGTCTCTCTTACCTGCAGCCTGTTCTGCTTCACTTGCCAGTGTGTCGCAGAAGTGTCTTTTGACTTTGCGTGCACTCTTCTTCACTTCTTTGTCCAGTGTTTTATACATTGTACTCAGTTCCGCCTCTCGTTGAGCATCCTTGCACTGGTTTATCTTCTGCTTCACCATCCTCCTCTCCCTCCTCTATCAGTTTCCATGTATCCATTGAGATCCATTCCTTATCTTCTTTCTTCCTAATACTGTTGTGCAGGTTTCCTTCCACATCTCTTTCAAAGACTCCCAGTGTTCTTCCACACAGGTTTCTTCAGGGATTTTTCTCGATATCTCCGATTTTGTCTTGATGCATGACGTGAAGATGTGCTTTGTAGTTTCGCCCTTCAGTTTCCGAGTGTTTAACTTGAACTGCTGTCTATCGTCAGCTTCCTTGAAAGCTTTCAACTTGATTTGGAAGGTTCCTTGCACTAGATAGCGAGTGGTGTGAACCTTCATCTGCTCCTCTTCGTAGTTTGATCTTGTGTCCAGTAGGCTGCGTCTCCATCTTCTTGAGATTGAGATAAAGTCGATCTGATTTTTAGTGTGTCCTGGAGTCTGGTGATATCCATGTCGCTTTGTGGATATCCTTGTGCTTGAACACAGTGCCTCACTGCAATCACTAAATCGTTGAATGCACAGAATTCTGCAAACAATTCTCCATTCTCGTTCATCACCTCACCGAGCGCTTGTCGGGCCATGGTTAGTTCTCTTCCTGTGTTGTCCACTCCCAGTTTGGCATTCATGTCACCCATCAGAATTTTGATATCGCCAACTGAGGACTTGTCCAGTGTTGATTGAAGTTATCTGTAGAATTCCTTTTCCTTCTCTGGTTCTGCATTATTTGTAGGTGCATAGTGTAGCATTGTATGATTGTGACCTTCCTTCCTTTTGAGTTGAACCTTGCTGTCATGATCCTGGAGAAGGAGATTGGTTCCCACTGCATGAGGGCCTTCGATGCTCTTCAAGGGGACATCATGATAGCCACTCCATCACTCAGTGTGCTCGTGGTTGTCGTCTGGGTGACAATATCAGAGTAGATTATTGATTCTCCAGTTGACAGTTTGGAGAGTCTACTCGCATTCCATCTGCTTTCGCATATTCCAAGTACTTCAGTGTGATACCCCTTTATCTCGTTTGCAGTCTGAACTTCCTTGGTGGGTTCAAACATCTTGCAGACATTCCATGTCCCCACGTTTACTTTCGCTTTCATCGAGAGAAGGCTTCCCGAAGGCTTTCATCAACTGGCGTCATTTTTCCTCTCCGATTCCAGCGAGGAATAATTTTGTTATTATTTTTTATATTTCTTTTGTGCTTTGAGGTTTCTTGAGCGGTTAGGTTTGTTTTCCGGAATAGGGTTGCTAGCCATATGCCCAACCTTCCCTGTTTACCCGGGCTTAGGACCGGCTAGTAACTAGTGAACTAGTTAACCGGACGACGTTAGTCGGAAGTGAAGTGGATGCTAACTGAAGACCTTGGGTGACAGTTGCGCTATGTTGTGAATTAACAGAAGTTGGAAATTGTGAACCACTGGAAACCGACCCAGTGGCTGAGTGGTTGACGCGTTCGCCGTGAAACCTGAAGGTCCTGAGTTTGATCCTAGCTGGGTCATGAGTGCGTTCTGCTGAGGAGTCCCCTACTAGGACGAAACAGCTGTCTAATGCTCCTAGACTTTCAATGGTTCCGCAACTAATGTCAGTCCATGATGAATACTACTTCTTAAAGTGAAGTTCGTTTACACAACTTTGAAAATTCCTGTATTCGTTGTCGTTTTCTGAAACTGAGTAAGTAAAGTACGAGAAATCCGTAAATTATGAGAACTATCTCCAGTGATACTTTAAAGTTAACTAGGAATGGCTTGTACACTTATCAACAAATTTGTTTCGTAAGTTTCAGAAGCCTGTTTGACTCAAGATGCCGAGTGTTGAAGTCGCTTTGTACCCTAGCTATCTTGCTACATCCAAACAGTACAAAGTAATCTGACCTCAAAAGGTTTATCACTATAATGACTGTTCCTGGTATGTTTCAAAATTGATCACCATGACACGGAAAAATTTGATTTTAAGAATTTTGAAATTTGTGATCATTGATTAATTCTTCATCAGATTTCTCTGGCCCTACATACATTTTTGTTTCATTCAATATATTATATTACTGCCGATTCTTTCTCTATCTACCACCATGTGTTATGTCAAACTTAGGTGATATCCAAGCACAATGGTGTGACCAATGTGTAGAAACATTCATTTCAGATATGTTTACAATAGACAAAATCGACTAAATGTGGTACTTTTTCTGCGTTAACCTACTTGTCCGTCACCCGTTAAGCATCGACAAATAAGTAGGAATAATACTATGCAAACAAAAGGAACAACGTGGAAAAACTAATGAGCAGGGAAAGTTACACCATTACTTTATTATGGTAATTTTACTTGGTTGTGGATAGCAGAGGAATCCGAGACGCATGTTGCGTCCTATTTGTGAAGTGGCTATCGCGCCTTAGTAGCCCAGTGGATAACACTTTAGTGTTTGAAGCGATGAGTACGTAATCCGAGTCTTATTAGGAATAACATCAATCCTAGGGTGCATGCACATCCAGCTGACGAGTCCCAAATAAAATATGACGCGTGTCATTGATTCCTTTGCTAGCCGCAACCAAGTGAAATTGTCATAATAAATAATCAGGCAATATCAAGGGATCCATGTAGGTGCCCATATGCCAATAGAGGTCGAACCATTCGATCTAGTATAACAACGGAGGATTACAAGTGTATCAACAAATGGTTATTATTTCTTTACCAACAGCAGTATATATATTTTTATGAAACAAGGTTTCGCACTTGCATTTGTTTATCACCAGGATGTTTGTTGGATCTTAAGGCGAACATAGCTTTCTCATAGACCGAAAATCACTTCGCCAAGTGCTGCACTTACAAAACTTTCTACTCACTTGAATAAGCTATAGTTAATCACTTCTAAGAACTACGTAACAAACACATTTATTAGTAACTGAGAGAAATGTATGCCATCTACTCTTACACTAGGTAGTGACGAAATACTTCATGTGGTCACTAAACTGGAGCACAACATGGTGTTACATTTTAATTAATTTTAGATAACTATAAAGTGCAAACTTGTTGTTCTTTAGTAAAATGCAGAGATAAAGATATACTGGTTTCTGCAGTAAATTCAGTCAGTTTTAATCTCAGAGTTGACGGACAAACTCCAAATTTAAGATCACGAAAAGCATGAACTGCATTAAATTTTCTAACCGACATGGACTGAAAACCCTATATATATATAAATCCGAGTAGGGGGTGCCAAGGTTAAATGTAGAGCTGAACTAAGTCGGTAAATTAGTTCTCTTATATATACGTTAAATTGAATAACTGAATGAGATGTCAACATGTCTAGCGACTTCTTTTCATTTATCAGACTGAATATTTTAGATAGCAGAGAAAAAGTGCAGAAAGCTAAGACAGAATATGTTAGGGCATATCAGTATTCCAGAAACTTAATGACTTTTAATATAAACGATACAAATAGTTATGAGCCTGGTGACTACAGCTGATATATAGAAAACCTTTGGTGGATAAGTTCAGTTGATGCGATGCTAGATGAATGCCTATGGTAAGATGCACTAACTATCTACTTGGTACAAAAATGAATCATTTACCATTTTGCATTTATTGAATTACTTCTCGTCGAAATACTTAAGTTCTTGAAGGCTAGTACTCTGTTTCTTGTCTTTTTTTCGCCTACTTTGTTCCTTTGGACTTTCACAGTATTCACAGTATGCTAAAACATTTAGATACATGAAGGTGAAAGTCCACACCTTGTACTTGCTTTTCAAACTTGTGGTAATGCAGATATATACTTCGAAATGTAACCTTTTTATATAAGTAAGAATAATATCTGAAGTAAGTATATCTGTGAACACTATTCTTCTCTGTATACAGGAATGTAAGGAAAGTGGTCTTGTCTATCGAAAAGAAGATTTATTGAACCCATCACAACATATGATTGTTGATCGTATAAAAGTTGCTGTATATAATCGTGGCATACGTGTGTTGGACTTTTTTGTCGACTATGATAAATTAAGGCATGATGAAGTAACGCAGCATCAATTCATGTGTGCCTTATTGTCAGCTGTTGGTAAAGAAGCAAGGTTAAATTGCGGAGAAGTTCAAATGCTTGCAAATTATTATCGTTCAAAAAGAAATCCACAAATGGTTAACTATCGTGAATTCTGCAGAGAAATAGATTCACGTAAGTTAATACAAATGACATGTTCCGAGGTAAATAACTTAAAGTTAATTATGATAACTTAGGCTGATATATAAATTCAGTGCTTCATGTTATTCATGCCTATCTCTGTCCGTTCAAGGGTCCACTGTTTCGAAGAAAAACAAGAATATAAGAGATGGCGATAACAGTTAGCTTATCAGTACCAACAAGCACGAAACGTATGTCCAAGTCATCATGCTTCTTGGTTTCCAGCACCTGACACCAAAGTCCTGTCAGCTTAGTGATATGGAAATATGATGAACGTCTGTTATATAATGAGAAACATATCGAACCTTATGCGGAAAACCTTCATATCTGCAGTCCTTACAGGATACCTAATTCAAAAACATGATGAATATCGAAGAGATAAATAACAGAAATCATTTGTCGTTGTATGCAGTACAATATAAAGTTGTATCCCACCCAAAAATCACTGCGGAATATGAAAAAATATATACATTATTTTAAATTCGCATTTTCCAGTTAACTAAAACATGAAATCGGTAGCGACTTTTAGTTCACACTCAAACCTAAGTCCAATATACCTTCAAGATTCTACGGTCTACAAAAGATTCACAAACCACGTGTTCCTTTTGAGATTAACACGCGACTTCTCTAAATATCAGGCTTTAGTACATTAACCCTTCGAAAACACTCATAACGCAAAACCATGGATTCATTTGACTTGAATTCCGAAATTTCATAGCTTAAAATTATGGAAAGTGAAACTGTGATAAGATATGACACCAATTTGTTATACTATCATTTCAATTGATCAAAGCCTGGGTATCATTTCTAATTGATTAGATAAGGAAACAACCATGGTAAGAAGATATTCTTTGATCACTAATGACATCACCAAAATATTACATTTTCTCCTAGAGACTAATAACCTCAAAATAAAACAAAATTGTGCAGACGAACGGGTGGTGCACCCAAAGGATTACCTGTTTCACTCATAGTAGTAAACCTATTTATGGGTTAATCTAAAGAAGACCTTTTCGTACAATCGCTAAATCCCAAAGCTTCTCTTAGATATTCTGACGACGCGTTCATAGTTCTAAAACGTGAAATCTGCCATGTTTTCTTAGATTAGTCGGACACGAGAATTCCCAGTAGCTAATTCAGCTCTGAAAATCAAACGGGTGTTAGTTAACTACACTTTCTCTACTCTCTTGTTAAGCGGAAAGAAAACAGAAAATGAAGCATAATCATTTGGAAAGACCAACTCATTCGAAAAAATAATTAGATTTCAATTTACAACATCCCATCAATTCGAAGGCTTCTGTTGCCTTCAGTCTTCTAAAGAGACCACAAACTCTTATAGTAGAAGACTACGGAAGAGTTGGGAATTAAAGTACGTGAATAAGATCGTAATTCATTGGCAAAACAGAAAATAGTATTTAATTCGATCCTATAAGTACTACCAAATCATAGGCCACAACAATAGTCGTCTCGTATAGGTCACAAATTTGGGATGAGATTATGAAAGTGCTCAACAAATGCAATATCAGAATATTCTTCAAGAGGTCAAAGAACTGTATGGCACCTTAGTTCATATGAAGGACAAAATTCCCGTGGATTCGTTATCCAACTGTGTTGATGGAATGAATTTCTCGAACTGCGATAGGCAGAACAAATTTCGCAAGAAATCAAGATTAGAAAAAAATGTACAGCAAAGGGCTTCGCCTGGTATCCTAGAAATCCAGCGGGGCTGGAAAAGCTTGAAAACATTTCAGCCATAGCTATACACGCTGCAACTTCAGGTTATTAGGTAGACTTTGACAATATCAAAATTATTCAGAAAAGCTTTAGAAACTATAAGGAACTTCTACTACGGTAGAATTTTGTCACATAGAATGGAATCAAAGTTGTTTAAGCAGGAATGAAGGAATAAAAGTAGCTTTGGCTGGTTTCAACGCACCTAAAGATACTAACATAAACGACACATGCGAGAAGAACTATAAGCACATGTGAACATACAAATCTCAATTTTAATTCATGCACTCACCACACTTATCACACCACATATGGTCATCGTTTTTGTGACCATTTTGACGGTCAGGACCAAAAATAATCAAATCAAGTTATCTTATATGAGCCTGGATGTTTTGAATTTTAGTTTAATATAACTGTAACAAAGCTTTTAGCATCAAGCAACATGAAGTCAGAAAAATTTGTTTAATCTACATTCACTGGGAAATACTTAACATGTCACTTAATTTTTAAAACCATCAAATCTCAACTAGGTTTGGGTATTTGCTAAGTGAAAAAAAAACGTTTTGAAAGGCCTGGTATTTATTGATTTGACTGGCATAAACTAGAATCGACTGCTACAATAATCTTTTGTTATCACGATTTCGTTCAAATTATGAACCACAACTAACTAATTTTATTTCCAAGGAGATTTTTGTCACTAACCTACTACAGGTTTAAGTGATACCAGCCAACCACTCAAGTGATTCAGAAGGCTTAACAGCCTACAGCATCAAAAAAAATATGCTTCATTTGTCCACAAAATATCCTATATCTTCGAGATTTTTGAAGAATGCATTCATTAAAGTTTTTGGTCTAAGAAATACTACTAACAAATTGTAAGTAGCTGAAAAATAAATCTGAACTTAGTTATTGCAAAAGCAGCATGAAAACCATGTCATTCCTGAATAGATGAACTTCTCTTAGTCAAAAATGTACATAGTAAATTTCATAGCTAAAAGCTCTGAATATCTGCAGAGGTTTTTGGGGCAAAGATTGAGGCATGACATTTGCACACCATGAAAATCGTTTGAACGACTTCAGTTACTCGATATTTTTGATACGCTGTAATGTTCTAATAATTGACCTCAAGTAACAAATATGAATATCAGGCCATCTCACTGCACAAATTCAGAAAATAAGGTAGTAGTAATCCTCAAGGCATGTATGTTCTCATTTATAAGTTGCTGGAATACATCAGATTTCATGTTATTTCATGGCAAGACCAAATCAAATCTTACATTCACTTTGAAGGGTAATCATAAAGTTTTGAGGCTAACCATTTTAGTGTATTTTGGCTAATAGTTGTTTATCTGAGTGAAGTCAGTCACAGGAATTTCTATTGAATGGTTTCAATGACCTAATATAGTTTTTTATAGACTGGTAAAGGTGTCACACCTGAAACAATAATAATCACTATATTCAGGGATGCAAATAATGGATTATATTGGTTTTGTAGGCGCTGAGATGTAGGCATTAACACAATATAATGTTACAAACAAGATACCCAGAACTATTTTTTCTAAAGCTGTATGAAGCAATTGATTTTAGTCTAAATTAATTTCGTTGTTAGTTGGAAAGCTAATTGTGTCTAAGGATCCAAACCTGTTTTAGGGATTACTAAGTGGCAATGAAATGCCGGTTAATTAACTTACCTTTACTCCACAGTAAATTTGCTAAGTTATTCATTCTTTTCGAAGTGAAAACCACCTTTCACGCACTAATGTTGTTTACGTTACCTTAAATATTGATGGAAAATATCCTAGGATTTCTGAAAAGAAATATATGTCACTGCAAAGAAGCTGAAATATTAGGACCAGACAATTTTGTCATCAGGGTGAATAGTTTCAAGCTGTGTGGTTAAAAAGGGTGACATGATAAATCCTTCAACCTTAGGATTACTGAAGAATATTTCAAACTTCTAATCGTAGAAAAAAGATATTGAAAGTAGCCTCTGTTAATGACACTTGAGAGCATTCAGGCCATAACCCAAGGGAAATGTAAATGCAGTTCATATTATCAGTTTGGCCTTACAGTATGTTACTCTGTATACGTTTTGCATCAGTACCAATGAAAGTATGACATTTCGTTATATGAAAATATTACCAATGGGGAATCATTATCTGTGAACCGAAATAATGATGTGATACACTTGTATAATAAAAATTCGTAAAACTGACTGTTTATGGACAGTTTTAAAACTTACAGCATGGAAAGCAAGAAAACGTTAAGACTTTTTTATCTTATGAAGCGAGACACTTACATACACGATACGATATACGAGTTAGAAATAACTAGATTTATCAGAATTAAAATTATCGGCAAAGCGTTTGAGGGTCATCATCCGGCAAGTTAAATTTTACATTTCCTTTTAATAGACAGAGCGGATAGCAAAAGACATATGACAAAAAGTGAATGATAATTATATATATGAAAATAGAACTTGTGTATAGTTATGCGAACTAATGACTATAAAGTATCCAACTTGGTTCACTTATGAAAAACTGACGGCCCAATAATTAATTACCTTGACTAGAAGTAAAGTGTAACAAGTGTAGAGTAGATTTATTCAGATGTTTTCATTCTGCTGAGATTCAGAAATTATATTTTGTGTTTAAAATGCTTCTTAGTTTTGAAGATATATGGAAAAAAATTCATAACTAGTGGGATGAACAACAATTTACATGCTTTTGGTTTGGAAATTAATGATACTTAATAGTCGGTCTGAAGTATTTAGATCTTAGTGCTGGTTATCAATTTTTCGAAATGTTTAACTTGAAAGGTATCTAGTCTCTACAGTGTATTCAAATACCTGTTGACTAGTTTTAATGTTTGATCAGAATGATTACTTGGGAACAAACGCATTAACATTGGTTTTGAAGCAACTGTAAGTGCAGTTCGAAATGTGTTAGTTGGCTGAAAGCGATTGACAGGACGCTCTGGACCTAGATTTCGTGCTGTTGACACTCGTCAGCAAGACTTATCTGTACCCTCGAGAAAACTAATGTTCTCTTGGGTTCAAATCCATGTCATCTAGTATTACAGTCGAAGATGTTATTGACAGGCATAGATCCCAGGTCCAGAGCATCATGTCGACTGCCTCCTATCAAATAACATCCATCAAAGTGGACTGAAGTGTTGAGCCTTCCAGTTTGGTGGCTACTTAGCAAAAATGATCGATAAAATTCGATCAGTTCTCAAAACTAGACAACATGAATTGATTGCTCCCCATTGACAAATCACTGTTGTTCAAAGTGTATTTGAATCGGTCTGCATTTTAATAGTTAATTTCAGGTATCCTTCGTGACAGATATTCATGGTTTTATGTTACTCACATGATTCTAGAGATGTGCATGATTTTCGATATAAAAATTATGAAATCAGTCGTACGCATTGACCAACAATGGATGATAGCTGTCATCAATTTGTAAGTTGTCTGGGATTCTAGTACGATCATGCTTAAAGTGTTCGAATAAATCACTTTAGCAACTAATTAATAACGCAGGAGATTATTATAGGAAAAATAGAACAAATGTTATTCGCAATAACTTAGATTTTAATCCTGATCTCGTATGATTAACCGCTAGTGAATTATCAAGCTATTGTGATTTCTTGCTTTTTGAATATAAATCTTATGGAGGAGCAAGTGTACTTGTGAAAGTTTCTGTTGATCTACATGTGTAATGTTTTGTATATCTTTTCCAAAGTACCAAGTCTGACACTTAAATTATCTTCAAATCCTGTTACAATATAAAGGAAAAATGTGGCATTGTAGGGCCATGCAGTTCAAAAATCAAAGTAGAATTTAGTACAATAGTGCATCACTTCAAGTTGCCACAGCAGCATGCATGGAAGAAGGTACTGGCTGTCAGTCAGAAGTCTTGCGGAAAGTACATTAATGACCACAGTATGCAGTATGTTACACAAGAGAATTATAGATAACTTGCATATCTTCAGAAAATTCACAAGCAAATAATCATCGTTGTGAAATTCTGGAAGATCTGATGTTGCTTGTTATCACAAAGTGATATCATTATGACTGCAATGGACAGTCACAAACTATTAGATAGTTATTTATTCCTATTTTACCACTGATCAGTTATATAAAAGCTTAGTTTTTATGCAGTTCATCAGACATAAGGTAATTTACATTTTTAAATGTTACCAACTTTTAATTCCTTGAGACTAGTCTGGTAGTACACGTCATGTCCAAATCTCCACTCATTGTGGAATAGACTATTTTATTTTTGTACAACTAAGTTAAGCGATACTTGCTTTGGATTGTAATAAAAGTATATAGCTTATCTTGTTGACCAAATTTTCTACGAGGATGTCTGTTTACACAGTGCTTGTTTACTACAGTGTGCTTTATAGAAAATGTTAGTCAGTTATGTTTAACCCAGTGATTCACGCAGAAATAATGCTATTGTGGAAAAACAGGTTCAGAGTTTCGGCATAGAAGAGACCATAGTTTACAAACAAAGTAATACTTAAGACAACTAATTTTTACTCCTTAGTAATCAACAGTTAACTTAATAAGAGCAGGTTATGATGAGAAATTCTTCAGGGATATTCCAAACTGTGAGTAAAAAGTCAGTTACACTACCAAAAATTTTCAAGACAACTTCATATCTTTTAATCAGACAGGCAAGATCAACATAGCACCTGGCACCCTTGTGTAAGGATCCAATTTAGTACATTTCATATCAGCAAATCATGCGAAAAAGCACTAAGATGAAAGATGAAGAAGTAAAGAAGAAAGCAGTAGTGGAAAGTGCTGATAATATAACAAGGAGAAACAAGAAAATACTGAATCCAGTATGATGATAAAGATAAAGATAATGATTGGATGTGAATGCACCACTGAAAGCGGTTCTGAGCCATACCACCTAGAGTCTCGGACCGCCGGTTTCTTTTGTGACACGGTCCTTAGTCGAGAAGTCTACATTCTTCTACGCTGTTAAGACCAACAGTCAACAACTTCATGAACTGATGCCATCACATTCAAACGTTTCTGGTACCTTCAACTATTGATGGTTTTTGAAGAATCTCACAAGCTCATGCCTACGTTTTAGTCATCCATTATCTGATCAGCGTTTTTATATTGAAATTTACATGAAGATTTACTTTTCTGACTTACCAGACATTCACTCTATTAATGGGAGGAGATAAGGTAAACTTAGGTTTCTTGTTGCTTCTTTGTAGCCTTTCATACACTTCAATTAGAAAAAGATCCGTTAAAACAAATAAGTATGCCACCCACAGGTGCACTCTCAAAGGTGAGCACAATAAATTCATTGCACATTTACTTCATATTTACTGGCCATCTATAGTTATGTTACCTACTCAGGTGAGATAATTCACTAATAATAGTGTATTCATGCCACTGAAACTCTATTCTTTATAATACAACATATTTACCAACTTTTATTATGACTTTCGTTTTCACATTGCCAAGTTATAGGGCCAGATGAATCATTTACTGTTATATAGTGCTTTTTTGTGTTGATATCTCAGTTCGTACTCTCCAGTTGCGTTTGTACACTGTAGGTGTGTTACCAAATTCGTAATCATGAAAGTTCTTGATATCAGAAGCTCAGATTTATTAGAAAATTTTCCGTTAATTGTCTGACTAAGTGAATGATTTTATCAGTTTCATTTTTATAAATTTCATTCCCACTGAAGAGATGCATACAATCAAATTGAGTAGATGAGTAATGCCCAGAAATATATAATGCCATTTACCAAATTTACAAGCAACCTTGCTCTTCGTATTCATGTTCTCCTTTTAACGTGCCCAACTTTCACTTAGATTTCCAAGAAGGCAAAATGCTGAAATTCTTTCAAAATTCCTATCTTATTCAGTTCAATAAATAAGAAGAAACTGTTTTTGAAATCATTATGTTGCTGCAAATACATTTAGCTACCACAACACAAGAAGGGCGTTTTTCACACATCATTGTTGATTAGAACAGTGAACTAACAGAATAACCTCCACTTTTGTTGCAGCAGTATTGACACGCGGTTTTCTGCAATACGACTGTTTGGAATATTTAAAACCGACCACAGCATATGCACTACTTTACTCATAAAAATTGTACATACATTTAATCAAATTCCATACTGGTCTTCAATGATATTTCGAGTTAATCAACCTGCGTATATATTGTAGTTTAGGCGGTTGCTAATTCTAACTTTGTATTACAGCCAGATTTCGGCGTAACCCAATAAAGTAATTGTGTCAGACCATGGAATCAGAAGTTAGCAACTATTTTGAAAATTTGGGTTATCAGAGGGCGGTTACCGAGCCAACAAATGCCTTAGGCGTAAATAAGTTGGACCGTATATGTAGATGCTGTTTTCACCACCCAAATGTAATCCTGTTGTTTATATCATAGGTAAACATGATTGATTCGTATTCTTCCCCTTGTTTTCCTCCATCTAACCAAAATATGATTTATTTATATAACAGGCTATTAACACAGATAAAATCATTCAAAAGTGAAATCTATGGAGCATTTTGTGAATGATGCATAAACTGTAGTTTGTGAACACCAAAATATGTTTATGGTTGCATCTTCACGTAGATCAAACATTGTGGATACCAACTCAGGTTTCTAATGAATTCGTTCAAAAGTTATTGCCAGTTAAGACCAGCTGAAATCGTTTATTTTACTTACTCATTCCAACAGATTTTGATGCGCTTAAGATCTAGTTTACAATCACTCCTCTTGAATTTCTTTATTGACTTTTGAATCTGTCATTTAATTAGTGGTGAGTTGATTGAACTGAGAAGCTTTATTGGGAAAGATTTTAAACGTGTCATCAGTTATCCTGGATTTCTTGGATAGATATAAACTGGCAATCAAAACTGACGAACTCAAATTTCCTGAAAATTTGCTTCATTGACACAAGTGCTATTTTTCTCTCCACCAGGCTTTATGTATGTTAAATCCAGAGGAAGAAGATCTTGTATCTAAATTGCTTGGAAGAATCAAAAATGAAGTTCGTGAAAAGAGGATCCTGACATTTCCATATTTTCGAGATTATGATATGGTAAATTTATTTTCCGATACAAAAAGTCGATTCTCTTTAAAAATTTAATGTTACTTTATCCTGTTAATGCATTCACGTAGATACGTTATATGAACACCACTTTTACCATAAGCTAATGGCTGTGTCTACTAGAAAACAACAGGTATTCTAAGCTCGTTCAGGGTGAAATGGTCAGCATTAAAACCAGTCGGGTGAAAGTGACGAACTGTAGCCATTTATGTCTGTTTGATTTAATTATGCTTAAACTTTCACTGATTCTTCACATTTTGTATGATATTACCGAAGCGATGATAGTTTATTGCTAACAAAGATGTATGAAATGGCGTGAAGTGTTTGACTGTTAAGCTAGAAATTTCGAAGATTCTCAAACTGTTACTGGGTGGTTGTAAAGCGTATTTTCAGATTTATAAATCTTGTCATTCTTCTGCCTAAAACCATTCTTATTTATTGACTTTTGTGCAGTTAATTTACATTAATCTTGTGAAACTGTAAATAAGCTTCTAAATTGTTATAAGGTCTTTGTATAGACGACTAATGAACACTATGATCAGTATGCTATTGAGAATTTTTCGATATGCTGACTCTTCCTTATGATAGTTTTCTATTACTACAACGGAATATTTCTTAAATGCAGAAATGGAATTAGGCATAATTGTTAGGTTAGAATCGATTATGCTGAAATAAAATTAGCAGACTCAGAGCTGGTGATACGCCAAATTTTAAGAAATTGACCCATCATTTTTTCTTCATCTACATGAGTGATCATTACCTGACACTTAACCCTGTGTATACCTTAAATCCTTCATAACCCTCTTTATTGCTTGGAGTCGAAAGTACAGAAGAGGGGAAATTTAGGTCAGTTAGGTGTTAACCTATTGTTCGGCTTCACAAATGTACAATGGTATTTAAACGAAAATGCACCCAAAACTAGTGCATATACTGGTGGATTTTCAATAAAAAATTTTTCGAATTGAATCCGTGTTAGCTAGTAAAGTGGTATGTAGGAAACTAATTATCTATTTTGTTTGCATGAGATTATACACAATTATTCATTGGATTTATCGAATGAAAAACATTTTCCTAAAACTTGAAAATATATTCACAAAGAGGCTAATAAAAAGCAGACTATTAGTGAAGCTTGTCGAAATTGTTTTCTCAACCATAATATGCCTGAAAACAAACTTTATCTATACAAATATTTATTCAAGTAGCTTAAGTAAAATCAACTGGAAAAAATCTTAATTCATTTCTTGTCCTTTTACATTATTTTTATACAAAATACCTGCCTCATTCCTGAATTCAATAGAAATTGATCATAGTTGGCGGGGGTTAACCATCTGAATTCCGAGAATGTCTAAGAAAAGATATCTAGATTTCATATCTTACAATTCAGTCTGGTGGTTTGCATAAAAAAGCTGGTCCATTTGGTTGAAATATTCTGCACAAATATTGGAACGACAATGCATTCAATGACTTCTTCGAAATTTAGTTTAGAATTCTTGAACAGTGTGCACTCGTGGCCTTAGGACTTTGAACCTCATAGTGAATATGTTGTATTTTAGTCAGAGAGCAGAAATCTATTGATTTACGTTGTCTAACTTTTGTTCACATCAAATAGAGTCAACCGAGACTAAATTCTGTAGATGATTATTCACTTGCGTGTTTTGTAGGTTGACCTATAGTTCATAACTTCCTGTTACAAGCACGTTTATAAGAGTTAAAGCCAGTCAATAATCTATGATAACTCTGCTGAATTAATTAGTTTGTAAGCATTTTTCATCAGGGATCAACGACCCTTCAGAATAAAACTTTGGGTGAATAAAATTGTTTCATTGAGGAATAAAAAAGAGGACGGGTTTCATTTGTATTCAGTGACGTTCATATTAGTAATATTTTCCTTTTAAACGACTTCATTCTTTTTCATAGGGAACGTGTTTTTCAGGATTCATTACTGGCTCACAGTTTGAAAGAGTTCTACACTTTCTTGGCTTAAATGCGAGCAAAGAAGATTGTCGACAGTTATGTCGAAAATTGCTGATCAGGCAAATGATGGTATTAACTATGGTGCATTCTGCCAAATAGTGGATGATTGGTATACTGCAGCAGCTCCAGTCAGTTTGAATGAAGACAATCCAGATGATGTGAACTTTGAAAAGTCAACCGTAGATAAAATTAATTGTGTACCTGAGATTGGTGACACACTCTGTGGAAAAAATGCAGCCCGCCGAAATTGGTGTTCAACAATAACGCCAATAATCAATTCAGATGGTGATAAATGGCCAGCTAAAGTTTTCTTAGATCGTATTCGACATTTAACTTTGGTAAATCGGATACCACTTAAACCATGGTTTTATGACTTTGATCACTTGCGCAGTGGTTACGTAACACGATCACAATTTGAACGCTGTCTGACAGCTGCAGGGCTAACACGTTTAGGTTTACATGACCTTACGCCCACTCAAGTAAACACTTTAGCTGATAACTACATGTCACCAGCTGATCCAAATACAGTGAACTGGATGAAGTTTGTTAACGATGTTGATACAGGTAATTATGTTGTGCATACAATATTTTTTTCTATTTAAAACATTAGTGATGCATAGAGGTGTATTTTTTTTAAGGCTTACGGAAAGCAAAAAGATCAACAGTCACCATTGTTGACCATTATATGAGTACGTGTATGGATTTTTTCAAATACATAGCTAAGAAGATTGTCATAATAATACAGTTATCTTATGGTTACCCATTGGATGATTAAATTCTTAGACAAAATCCCAAATTAAATATTCTTTTAAATAATTGGCCATAGAAATCCCTCCAATTGTTTGAACACTCACTTAGACATGTGAATGATTTTGGCATACAATTTTCAATCTCGAATTGGATTCACCATTTCCACTTGCTGTCTTTTTACACTGATGCAATAATAACTGATACAGATAATATTGGATTTCGAAAAAAGCGTTTGTTTTATGGAGTTCAGATGTCCCAATGCTGCTAAAAAATTGATTTCGGTAAATCCCTAGATTTGCCTCGATGTACTATACTAGGAGAAGATGGATTACCTTGAAAAAGGCTTCAGGGTGGCCATACCAAGATGTGGTAGTAGTCAATGAAGTCTCTGACTGTTTGTCTGAGTCTTGTGTGGAGTTATAGACTGCCTGATTGGGTTTCCTGAGACGAAGGGAATCAGCGGATGAGGACTATTAGTGACACGACTCAAAATCGGTCACAATGGCGCAGATATATTCACTCTGACATTTTCTAAGGCTTGAATATTTGTACTAACCGTTATCTTCTAATAATTTTTTATCACAAAACTTTATCTACTTTGATATCGCTCCTTTCCTGTCCTCTTATTCTTTGTGTACTACTGTGGAGTGTGGCAACTTGAGTCGATGCACGTGTGTGTGAGGTTCTACCTTAAGTTCGTTAGTCAGATCTGCTATAGCATTATTCACATACAAATTTACTCAGATCTGCTTTTCAAGCAAGGAAGTAACTTTCTCCTCTTATGATTCGTTTCAGCATATTTTATTCACCCATCATATGAGTTAGTTTTTTCAACCTGCGTATGATAGTGAATGATTATATGATTTAAAATAAAACATCTTCATACTACGTGGATTAAATTTAAAATTATCGTAAATAGTTTTCATCAGGATATTTCGTCATTTCAGTGTTTACTATACCAGAACTAGAAAAGCAGCCTTTAACGCGCGTGTTACCACAAGAAACCTTTATTCAGCCTAAACCTGGTACAGCTGATTGGTCTACAGCCACCGCGGAAATGATACAGAACTATGAAAGTGGTATGGCCGTTATAAGGCGGAAAGTTAATGAACGACGTATGTTGTTATTACCGGATTTTACTGCTTTTGATCCGTAAGTATAACATTTATTTACTATCCGGAAACTTCTTTAAATCAGTGTACATATTGTGATAATGAAGATAGAAAGTGTCGCTATTCCAGTAAAAGTTATCCAAATACACTGTTAATGTAGCTGTCCATAAACAACCAAAAGCACGCTTTATAACACTAGTTTGATCTTGCTTGCTTGTATACTTTTCTCAAACGTTTGAAACCACTAGTAGATGCATAGTTCTCGTAAAAATGAAATATATGTTTACATTAAGTTTGTTCGAGCATTCCAACACAAAACGGTCAAATAACCAATCAGGGTTTATAAAAATAACTTTGAAGAAAAATTTATGCGCATGATTCTCTTCATAATATTGAGTAGATACTGAAAAAAATGACTGTTCAGTAGACAGATGATAAAATAAGTCGAAGAAATTTTCTACTGTAGGTATGTTGATGGACTCTTCTGTTCATGAACTTTAATTCTCAAAAAACAAATAAAACAGGAAATTCAGCTTTCTGCGCATTTTATCGCATTCTGATGAATTGGGAATGTTAAATAAAATACAGGTTATATTTAACTACTCATAAACTAGTACATACAGTGCCCGAATAGCTCATTGTTAAGGTTTCCAACTGTAGCACTCAGTGATACGGGTTCCAACCTCATAGAGAAAATCAGTTCTCTAGAGGTTGCAGATGTGCACTGCTGACAAGTGCAAACAAGCATGAGTAGGACTTTCTGATAGTCTCCTTCAACTACTTAGCATACATGAAATTCACTATGATGAAATTGGAGGGAAACAAATTGCAGCGGCAAGGTTGCAATTGACAGCAAAACATACTTCATATTTATGAATATTCAGCATAATATTTAAATAATTTCTGCAAGAGATGTACAAAATATTTATCAGAGATAAAATGTGCTGTTTTAACTACACAATAAAGCAGTTAAGCTGAAATAAAATCGGTGGATTAATGAGATGTTATGAAGTAAGGCAAAAATTCTGTTGTCAGAGCAGGGTGTTGGTCGTCAAACGGCAGGTGGCTCCAGACCTGCGTTGTGTGCTTTTAGCTACTCATCAGCAAGGCAAATCGATGACAATGTTGAAACTAGCGATCATTCGGTGAGCTGAATCTATGTTACTCAGCGCTAAATTTAGAAATTTTACCACTAAGCTGTTGCAGCCATGAGTAACTGAATCATGTGCCATTTTTGGTCAGCAAAGGGTTTAAGATGTAGGCGTCTGGTTCTTACAAACTGGGACTGGAAGTGTATTTCTGAACTTTTTTATTGTTGGGAAGATAGTCAATAAGTCTACATTGCGTTCTAAATTGACTGTATCCCAGATTATACTTATTACTGACTGAAAACTTTTAATTTGGAACTTATCATGATTTGCTTAAAAAGCGAATGGAGGTTCGACTTTCTGTTCTTTCAAAATTTGTGCTTCAACAAGTGTGCATAAGTTTATAGGGTTTGTAAGATAAGAACAAGGCATATATCAGCGAAGAAATATTTCTCTTCAACAACTTCATTACCAAGCTGTACAGTCATATTTATACTCGGCATAATGACAGATGATTACACTAAAATGTTGCTCGGCCAATATGCGAAATAGAAAAAATATACAGTAGGTGTTGGTGGTTGTATTTGTTCAAGTGGAAGAAATAGAAAATTGGTCACTGAACAAGGAATGAATTGATAACCAGTGGTGAGATAAGCGACACGCGCTGTCAAAGAATTGTAAAACGATGATAATTTAACTGAAGCACGCAAAATAGGTCAGTGAATAAGAAAAGAAATGATATTAAATGGTGAAATATGAGTCAAATGTTGTCAGTGGAGTAAAAATTAGTGATAATGATAATAAAAGAGAAGTATACAAAAGTGAAGTGAAATAAAACTGACAAAATATCTGATCAAATGACTTGTTAAGGTTAAGGTAGAGAAAGTGGTTTCACAAAACGTTCTTGAATGCAAAGTTTCGGTTTTTGTTCATGTATAGCTAATGCTTCAGCTATGCATAAGTGGTGGAAACTTAAACCTTTGGGATAGTTCAATTTAACTTTGTAAATTACTCTATAGGATGAATCTCGAGGTTTTTAATGACCTGACTCTACTAGGTGTTCACATATGGATGAAATTGTTTTTCGAAACCACTTTCTCTACCTTAGCCTTAACAATTCATTTGGTTAGTTGTTTTGTCAACTTCATTTCACTTCACTTTGGTAACGTAATATCATTGTAAGGTTTTACTTCATAATCGGTTTGGGAAGCAAAATATAAAGTTCAGAGGTGAATATGATCTAACCGAGAAGTTTGATCTCCTTGATCTGCTAATCAATAAAAGAAACGGCAACAATAATACGTAAAACAGACACCTTAAAAGTCACAGCAGCTTCTGCCTAAATGAACTACCAAAGCAGGTTGGTTATGCCAGAGATAAAATATCCCAAAAAACATTCTAGAATTAATTTGAAGGTAAAAAGACATCTCAATTTCCTACTGTTTTTATGCCATATAATATTTATGTACGTCTACACAGAATGTTTGAAGCAGTCGGTGATTGAGTGAAGTAATTCATTTTTATTTTACGTATGTCAGTTAGTCTTGCCATCATATCAGCTACTGGAACCTAGAGATTTTAAAAATGGTAACTAATTAGTAATTAGAGAGTTTAAACGTGGGTTATGCTTTCTTCTGACACGACAGTCAATTGAAAAACTCTGACTATAGCAAAACTCTTGTCTTGAATTTCACTTTTACCCACCACCAATAAATAAGAAGTGGTTGAACAGTTCAACCAGTCAGCGATGAGATTACATTAAGCTATTATAATGGAGCTGAAAATGAAAACAACAAAAATATGTAAACTAAGAGCAACAATAATGATAAAAAACACCTTATCTATGAGAATTATGGCATGTGATCTTGATTACTTTTAGCGGAGTGATGTGTTGGTTGAAAGAATGAAATAGGTTGTCATGGTAAGTTAGAAGAATGAACTGCAATCCTAACAATGATAATTTTTGAAAAATTCACTTGATGCCTCAATAAGGGTGTGAAATGGTCTATTTATCTGTTTCATATTGTTTTGGTGAGATTAGAAGTCATATGAAGTTCAAAATAGGAAGTTTGGCTTAATTTAAAAATAGTTATTTTCAAAGGTGACCATTATATTGATGGGAATTCAAACATTTCCGTTTTGATCGTGCGAAGAATAAAGCTCAACCACATTTTTCATAGTTTTAATCCGGATCGGTTACAGCATACTATTGTTCATCACTTCAGTATTGATAAACAATACAGCGGATGCTTTTGAAGCTATGAGAAATGGTCACTAAATTACTTGCAATAGTGGGCATTTTATGCAAACAGTTACCAAACAGCCTAATTGTATTGTTTCAAAATAGCTTGAAAATATCACGCCAAATGTTTAAAATCTTATGAAAATGAAAGAATATTAAGAGTAACTGCTTGGTGATCTTAGTATTTCTAACTTTCCAGCATTCACAGACCTATATCAGTTACTAAATGAGAGGTCAATAGTGGATCATAAAAAACTGAAAAACTTCAAATTCCATGCACAACTTTGTCATTTAGCAGTCGAATCTAAATATCAGAATGTGTGATATTTATTTAATTTCCTTCGTTACAGTAGAAAATCGACTGTATTGCATTACCGTTGTGATGTTTCTCTCCAGTTTCATTTTAAATTCACTCTCTTCTTTAATGTTTGGTATTTTAATTTGTTTTTTTTTTGTTTCTAGCCACAAAACAATCGTTTCGAAAAATGCTACATTAAAAATTCTTCTGAAATTATGCCCATTCCACAAGTTATTGACTTTTTGTGTTCACAATTAGATGTCAGTTGGACGATTGACAGTATTGACTAGAGTCCTAGAATGCTTCAGAGCTAGGCATACAATTTCTAAGTCGTGCTTCGAAAAAGTCCTTCATATGCCAGTTCAGAAAGTGCTTTTCACATTCATTGTACTCGTAAACTTATGATGCAGCCTTAAATTAATCAATAGTCACGTTTTATTCATCTATGTTGAACTAAAATTGCAAAATATGATACAAATAGTCAGTAGAACTACTTGTAACGTCAAAGAATATCCTCTGCAGGAAAATTGGGTGTTTAGAAATTCCTTCCTTACCCTTTTTCTTAAGTTTTTGTTCCTTGCATATAGCGAGTACAATAGTATACGCAAGTTTCAAACTCAGATAATGCAGGCTTTATGCAAGGACTACGAAAGAGATGGAGCTGCTACCGTCTCTGCAAAATACTGGTACCGATGAGCCTGATGCCATTAGGGCAGTTTGTGAAGTCGATGGTTTATCAACAAATAATCTAAGCAAACTCAGAAAATGCTAACAGGAGGTTTTTGTAAGGCTGTCTTGCTGGCCTACTGAGTTAACAATTTTGAACTCTGTGTATTGTATTCCTTGATCATTAGTTTTTTTAACACCATAGAAGGACCGCTCAGAAAGAAATTTACTAACTGAGGCATCATCAGACAATGGCTAATATGACTTACTGGACAAAAAAGTTTCGTTTAATATAATGACTAAGTTATTAACAACGTTGAAAGACACTGAGAACGACTCATAGCTCTGGAGTGAGAATACTATGATATACGCATTTCAAGAACGTATTCGGACTCGTGCTGGTAGATGTGTGGTGCATGAGATTTTCAGTCATGTTGTAAAAGCGGGATATCACTATCCATTTTAGATAAATTTCAGTAGTGCTATTATGTTGGCCTATCCAATAAGATATTATTCTATATCCCTTAAGTAGGCATCATCCTTCTAAGCAACCATGGAAGCGTTCCAAGACCAGGATACTCAATGGCTTAGTGCATATAATCTTTTATATCCCCAAAGAACTTATTGCATCCAGAAGCGGAGTTATTTCAATAAGTCTTGATTTAAGTATCATATACCTAGGTTTTATAATTTGACCGATGAATTTCAGTAAGAATGTGGATAAAATAACACTTTTATCGGAATTTATGTATCATTTCAAAAACACTATGGTTGTCAACATATATACAGGATACGTGACAGTTTTGATTAGGAGTACATACACCAAATTTTAGTCTTCCAAATAACATAACTGTCATAATTGATTAAGCTGTATAATGCATTCAGTGGGATAATTGATTCGGGGCCAAGGAAGTTAAGTTTGCTTGCTACAGAAAAGAATTAAAAAGTAAATATTAAAATGGAATTTTATGCCTTATGAAGTTAACTGTTCTAGTTTGAAATCTGCTCTACCACAATACCCGGCTTATGCACTTACAAGTGAGTCAGAACTTGGATACTATGTACTTTATGAGTGACAAATTCTCTTATTTTTCATCATCTAAACATGTCGTATAAATACCTAGTCATATATTGTTTTTCTCCACAAAATTCTGGAATGTATCAAATTTTACTCATGCAATGACTCATAGCTTGCGTTATTTTTAAAATTTTTACTTAGAATACATCGTGGTATAGTGACAATGAACAATTTTCGTCAGTTAGTCAGCATGTTTGGATTCTGTTTATCCTCTGAAGAAATAGATGCAATTATTTCACGTTATGCAAATGATGATGGCTTTAACTACTTAGAGTTTCTGAACCACTTATGCCAGTCGACAGCGAAAGAAAGCGAATACAAATATCCAGAACGCTTGGAATGCCTACAAAAAACAAATATGCTGGGCAAACAAAGCGTGGAAATGGAACCAGTTTTAAGGGATGCTGAAGGTGTTATGGATATACTAAAAGCAGAAGTATGCCGACACATTAGAACCAGTATTTGCTTAAAATGATTGTAATACTTATTCTGTTTACCAACCAAAGTGCTTCAGTTCACTTTTCATCGAATAAGAAATTCTAGTGAAAGTAAAGGGCATCATTTTACATTGTATCACCCCAGGTAATCAACGAATTAGTAAAAGCAGTAAAATTCAACGGTAGATGTTGATTAAAGGTTTCAGGTAAGAGTGCAGCAACTTGTACTAATTTATGTACCCCATGTGTTCGGTGAGAAACGCCAGAACTCATGCAACTAGATTAAGTAGAAGTGCGACTGACAAAACGTCAAATTAATCAGAATGATAAGGTGACAGTTCATACGCAATATTTGTCGTCAGCAGGGGGATTGTATGATACAGAAGAAATTTTAAGTTGAAAATGACACATGAAATCGACTTTTTGGAGGATGCACACTGATTGTCGTTTCTGCTGTCAGTGCTGCACATAGTTCGGTATAACTAACATCTTGCTAACATACTCTTTTATATCATCATAATTCTCCTTTAATGCTTTCTTGAGAAATGTGTTCTGCTAAAATTTCAGTAGTGCGAAAATGTCAACCATTGTATCAATCTATTCAGTACCTTTCAAAAATAAGATTTTTTAACTCCTTTCTTGTTAATAAGCTTACTCTTCTGCAAAGAAGTGACTGGATTTTGTACGATGTTCACCACAGATTAGCACTAACCGAGTGAAGTAATAACTTTCAGTAGTGAACATCAAAAGTACAATTTGAAATTGAAGCTAAACCCTTCTGTCATAGTGACTAATTGGTTGACCTTCTGTAACTGGGTTAGAATTCATTAGGTAGTTCAGTTTTTACCGCAAACAGAAATTAGTTAGTGAATATCTACTTTCTGATTACCACTTTGAATAAGATAACCAAAGATTTCAAGTTAGTACTTTATCACGGGATAATTAGTCTAATATAATTCAGTTTACATATTGTCATCAACTTTTCAGATGAATAATATAGCTTTCAATACACCTGTCTCCTAAGATCTACACACCAATAAACACACAACTTTACACTGACGTCTATCAGTTTAAGTTACCTTTTTCATAATAAAAGACAACGAAAGAGGATGGGAAGAGAATGATATTGAAACGGATAGATCACATGAAAGGAGAAGAACCAATTGAGTGAAAGTTAGGAAGAAGTTCAAAAATCTGAAGATGATGAACACATCTGTGTCCGGTATTATTTTACAGTCTATATACTAAAAATATGGTATCACTAAAAACCTTTATCTCATAACTAATCGTTAGTTTTTGTTTACTGATTTTCTTATTTGTGGGACCTTCGTGTTAAATTTCACCTAAGGTATACCGTAGACGCTTACGACTGTCTGATTGGTTCCGTGATCATGACAAGCTAAATCATGGATACTTACCGAGGATAACTTTTCGACGATGTCTTGGTGTTCTTTCCTTACAAACTGGAGAAACAAATTTAAGTGTTCTTGAAGACAGGTATGCAAATAACGAGTTTTTATTTTTTATTGTTGAATGTGGTTTCTGTCATTAGACAGCAGCCAGAAGTAGAGTGGATGACGATGCAATTGAGTAAAATAGTGCGGGATTTCGTACTATATTATGATATTACGATAAAAGGGATTTAATCATATTATGGTAGATTCATTTAATTTCAATGTTTCTGGGGCTTTATGAGTACCGAAACAGTAGTGAGGAAATTAACCGATAGCGCAAAATTATATTCAGACCCTTTATATTGGGGGATGATACAGGTGATAGGAGTGTTACCTACACAAGCTAAAATTTCCAATCTGGTGTGAGTAAACTGAAAAAGGTTATACAACGCATCCCGTTTGAATCTTATTAAGTGATAATACAAAAAGGTTGGGAAGGATGATACAAAGTTGGAGGAAAGGAAGATATACAACAAATATACAGAAAGCGTTAAATGGGACTCACCATGTTCTTATTCATAGTCATCTTTCTCTACGGAACTAATTTTGTTCATACATCTGAAATCTACAAATACAATTTCCCCATGGAAATGAGTTTTCAAATACTCTACCGATTAAGAACATTGGTAATACTACTTGGCAAGTTTCCATTGAAATACGAAGAACTGGGTATTGATTGTGGGGAGGATTTTCATATATTCCTAGCAGGCATTTCATTGACAAAGTGGTTTATTTAAAAATAAACAAGCATATGGTGAAGTGTAACTTGTGTGCACAACTCTTAGGTTCCCACTTGACGGTATGAAGTATCATAACACGATCAGAAAATAGCATGCGATACTCTCTATCCCCTACCTCACGAAGCAACCTTCGATATTCTTCGAAGTGTAAATTGCATCTTTTTCACAAATAGAATAGGAGATTTATGAATGACATTTAAATAACTTAGCTTGGTTTCAGAGTTAACTGCCTTGATCTCTTCTGCTGATTTCATGAACAAAAATTTTTGACGGGAATCACAAACGGTATTACCACATGTTTTTAAATCTTCATATCTGAATACATCCGAGAATTGATTTTTTGTATTTTCATTGTAGATTAGCGGGTCGTATTTTGCTATATAGGCATAAATTAAGTTGTCCATGGTTGTAAGCAGTGTTTACTGTGGTCGCAGTGCAGTCATCAATCTTGTTTTTAACATTAAACCTCCACTTTACCATTTTCTCTCTCTTATGACGAAGTTTTCTTTCTTTCTTCTCTTCCCTTTGACTGCCTTGTTACTTGATGTGGTGAAATAAGGTGTGGCAACTTGCACCGTTATGCAGTAAGGCCTGGCTCTATGTCAATTGTGATTATTATTATTACTATGATGATTTCAATACATTACTTTTTACCGAAGGAAAAAAATAATTGACTTTTCCAATAGCATGTCTGATCAACTTGAAAACCGTTGAACATGAAAGCATGGAATAGCTAACAGGAGATCAGATACTGATGGTTCAAGGAATCGGTAGTTCAAATGTTTCGAAAATGATCCTTTCATCTGAGGCAGATACTGACTTGAATTTATATCTCACTCAGAATGAGATTCATTGTGACCCCAGTAACTTCAGTTACAGGAACGTATAATTTCAAGTGTAAGCGGTAGCTTATAAAAAATACTTTTAAACTGATTTCTAATCACTTTCTAAAAAATGTAATTCTTGAATATTGAAAGTTGTGGTGACTTCAAAGCTAAAAGTGACACTTGAAATGCACTTAAAAGCAGACAACAGTGCCTTAATTAGATGTAAGATAATTGATCACCTAGCAAAGTGAATGACAACCCGACAGATGACATGCTTCAAACAAGCTTTTAATGGGTCTCTTGCAAGTTTATAAGGTTGAAATTAAAAACTCAAGTATCATAATATTTGGATGCTGCAGCTTGTGATAGTAGTGTTATTGCACCAATGGAATCACATTTTTGTTCATCTCCCCATAATATCAATCACTCTTCATTCTCGCATCTACCTGTCCTTGGTTCAGTATTTACGTAGATTTTTTCAAATGTGCTTGTGAGTGTTTCAACATGAACAGGTTTCAGATTTATTGTTAGACTTAAACATTTTGGTAGAATGTAATTCAATATTAAGTTTGTTCAACTAAATGAAGGATAAGTAGAAATATTGCGACAGACATCTACATACCACAACCTTGCAGCTTTATCTCGGAATCCACTGGCAATTTGGCTGTTATCAGCACTGAAAGCAAAACTCAAAACATCTCCTTCATGAGCACAAAAATGACGAGTTATTTTGCCAGTCTCCAAATCATATAATCGGAGTGTACCATTCCGTGAGCTTGCCAAAGCATACAGATCATCTGATGACATAATCACGTCGCTTACAAAGTGATTGTATCCATGGCATGACCGTACAGGCACACCATAGTGATCATCACTTCATTGTAAGTCCCAAACAATAGGCAATTTGTTTTGAGAAGTGGATAAAAGCAAATATGGTTGTGGTGTTGTGGCAGCCTTTGTAACCCATACTCTCTGTCCAGCCAAATTAGCCCGGGAAACCAACTTTTCAGTCACTGCTCAACGTGAAAGCCAGCGTAGCAGTCACAATAATATTTGCCTATTCGCACTCCAGTGAAGACCTTAAGACAGTTGTTGAAAGTCAAGAAAATAAGGAAATTTTTAGCTTGATAGTCTATGGCTCGTAATTACCCTGGATACTATTTTTGAGTCTTTAAATTTCACCTACAAAGAACCCAATATAAATAACTGTTGTTCATTCATCACCTTATGCACTTGAAACCACTTGTCATATTTATCACTCCTTTTCACTGTTAGATGGTAAAAGCCGGGAAGCTCTGACCAGCAAGCCCTACCTGTAGCTAAGTAGAAAGTACTGTCAATTTGGTGATTCAGACCTATCACATGGTGAGAATTCAAAGATTTAACCACTAAGTTATTCAAGTCATGACTGACCCTCTGTAGGACCGGATTACACAAGCGAAATGATCGCCAATAGGTAACCGATACAACTGTCTAGTCCTTAGTGCCTAGTCCTGGTTGAAGTGCATCACCCAAGTTTTGCATTGTATACAATAAGAGAAGCGAGATATCACCATCATACACTGCATATGGATAATAAACAGCGAAAGTCATGTTCATGTAAAGTCCTGCTGGATATAAATTTATCATCGGTATAATCGATGAACTATTTGAACATAAAATTTTCCGTTTTCTCAGTTCAGTGAGGAAATGATCATCCT